TTGAACAGGTTTGCCAGACTTTGCAGATTGCTTCCATGCAGAAGATCACAAGACTCTCTGTCTTGGAGAAACAGATCTCCTCTATTCTGTAAGCATTGCCATAGCTTGAACCAACTCATAGGCCCCAATCAATGCAGTCTCTTCCTAGCCTCTCTATAACTACAATGCCGGGATCACCTGCTATTCTCCCTTGATCCACATGGTATAGACCTCTCAACCCCATCTTCACTAATATCCGTTTTTTTCCGCCATGACCTCTATCAACATCCTGAACATGGAACATTCTCTACTCACCCAGATTCATGACATTTTGGGGTGTTTTTACTAAAGCTGGAGAGTGCAAAATGAGGCTTATTTTGCATAGAAACCAATTAACTTCTAACCTCAGCTTGTTCAATTACACTTTGTCAATAAAACCTTGCAGTTGATTGGTTTCTATGCAGACACAAGCCTAATATTGCACTTTTTCGGCTTTAGAAAATAAACCATTTTGACTCCAACACAAAGTACCCTCTGAGAACATTCTGGACCCAACTCCCAATGTAATATGAAAGCTTTATACAAAACCAGCCAACCATCAGATATGATAATATCGTATGCAGATCACCCTTTTACATAGTTTGAGTAACTCTGCTTTTCTGAGGGAGGAGTTACCAGGACACTCAATATATGCACTTTAAAGGGAGATTCCCTTTTTTTTTTTTTTTTGCAGAATGGGAGTAGGAAATTGGGAAGGCTGATCAGAGGAGGATCAATCCTAGGCACTCGTACTGACTACTCTTCCTATTACTCTTTAGTGTCTGTTCCTCATGTCTTCAGGTGCCTGGCACAGATGCCTACAATCATATGGAAGACACCCCACGTAATATATGATGAAGGTGTGAATAGTTACAGCAGCCTACAACAAGATGCAATCTACAAAATTGTTGGTTCTTCCAAAGTTACAATACTCTCCATACTCCCTGGCTGCATGAAAAATTTCAAATGTAACTAGGTCAGGCATTGCCTGACAGCAGCCAGAGACACAGAGATACAATCTCTAGATATTGGAAGTCCACAGTCCACTACCAGGTGCCGTGTCAGAAAAAATGGTGCATGTCCATTTTAGGTCCCTTATACGTGTGTTGGCAGTCCACTGAAATTAACATGTTAATGTGTGACATAATATTAATGATAATGTTAAGAAACAGTATTGGTGTGAATGAGCCCTAACACGCTGATACAACCTATATAACTTTAAGTGATGTCACACTTTGAATGACAAATGTGCAGTCATGCAACACTGTGTCTCAAAAAAAAATAATAAAAAATTAATTTGAGTAGATAGAGCTTTCTTTTGGTGGTATTTGATCACCAGTGTTTTTTTTTTTTTTTTTTTTTTGCTAAACAAACTAAAAAAGAACATTATGAAAAAAAAATCCCTTTCTTAGTTTCTGTTCTAAAAATTTGCAAATAAGTAAAGTTACTTCTTAACTGATGTGCGCCAATGAGGCTACACTGAGGGGCACCGATGAGGTGGCACGGATGGGCACTGATAAGCTGCACTGATAAGGCTGCACTGATAGGCACTGATATGCTGCACTGATAGGCACTGATATGCTGCACTGATGGACACAGATTGACACTGATGGGACTGCATTGATAATCAGTGTAAATGTCCCCTATCACAAGAAAGCCGATTATTGGCTTTCCTTTTGCACAGACAGTGACAGCTCTGAGGAAACGAAATGCCGATAACCAGCATTTGTTTACATGTGATCAGCTGTGACTGGACACAGCTGGACACAGATGACCACATGGTAAAGAGCTAATAAGCTCTTTATCCCTTAGATACAGCGCACCACCGATCACCGTGCTGCGTACCCCAGGGGGCACACATGAACGGCGTGACCCAGAGGACGTTGATGGCCGGTCAAACCTTTCGTCTCTCTGGGTGGATGTCATATGACGTCCACCCGGAGGGAAGAAGGGCTTGACTGGCCATCAATCTGCTATTGACTGGGTGAGAACTTGTTAAACATGACCAATTTTATAATTTATTGATATTTAACATTTCCTTTCCATTTCAGTTTGAAGCGGTTATAAATGTATAAAGCTGATAAAAATGGTAATATAGGGTGTTCTGTATGCACAGTAAATTCCTGTAATTTCCTAATTTTCCTGACACATAGACTGATTAGGTGATTATAGCAGGCAGAACTCAGAGCAGGCACAGGTCTACAGTGAAGTTGACTAAAATCCTTGCAATGCAATGAACAGAACTTTGATTTCTTAGTGAAATTTCACTTTAAAAGGAAAATATTGTATTCTGGTAACTGTATGGAATTAATAATTGTAATGATACTTTGTATTCTTTTTGTTAATTCACATGCTTTTATTTATATTTTTCTCAACATTTACATGCAGACCAAGCTGCTGACAGCATTTGGGACAAACTGTTATACTCAGAGGGGTACTTACAATGGTCAGCCTTTTCATTTACCTTTTCCAAAAGAAAACCTGTTACTGTGACTGCTTAAAGTGGAACTAAACCCTCCTGCCTTTTTCAGCCAAGAAAGCTGCCATCTTGGCATCTATTTGATCTGCAACTGCCATGGTGCTGCACATGTGATCAGTTATGACACCAGCCATTTGATGGTTTAACAGTTTGACTGAGAGCAAATGTGACAGTTAGTATTCCCGACATGCAGGGAATGTAACTGTTTTTTGAAACCGTTAAATCAATGGGTTTTGTTTTGCTTTAAAGCATATAAAAACATAAAAGCAAAAAATGTAATTTATTGCTGCTTATCAGTCCAGATGTGGTTGATGCATTGTTTTTTTTTTTCAAGCTTTTTCCAGGTCTACACTCATTTCTCCATTGGTGGAGGTAGCCATGGATGTGACAGGCTGGACTTTAACCACTTGCCTTCCTGAGGATTTACTCCCGTTCCTGATCAGGCCATTTTTTTGTGTTACAGTGCTGCGTTATTTTAACTGACAATTGTGCAGTCATGCAACACTGCACCCAAATTAAATTTACGTTCTTTTTTCCCCACAAATTGAGCTGTCTTTCGGTGGTATTTGATCGCCTCTGCGTTTTTTATTTTTTGTGCTATAAAAAAAAAAAAACAATATTTTTGACTTTTTGCTATTAAACATGTCCAGTAAAAAAATGGAAGAAAAAAAAAATCAAACTTTGTCATAAATTTATAGCAAAATGTATTCTGCTACATATCTTTGCTAAAAAAAAAATCCCATTTATGTGTAAATTAATTGGTTTACGTGAAAGTTATAGTGCTCACAAATGGCGGTATATATACTGGGATTTTATTTTTTATTTTTACTAGTAATGGCGGCGATCAGCAACTTATAGCGGGACTGCGGCGGACATTCTGACACTGAGGGGAACTGACTTGGTGTCACTGACATCCCCAGAGACACCAATACAGTAATCAGTGCTAAAAAAAGCACTGACACTGTACTAATGGCACTGGGCAGGAATGGATTAACATGAGGGGTGATCAAAGGGTTAACCGTGTGCTGGGAGTGTTTTACTAGGGGGCAGTGTCAGTGTGCTTCACTGTAATCACACTGCTTTGGATGGCTGTGTTGTGCACAGCCATCCAAAGCAGTGTGCCCGAGGTGACAGGGAGGAGAACTGTTAGTAAACAAAAGAGTTCTCCCCCCCCGTCGGAGATCCTCGGAAATCACAGGGCGCCGGCGAGTAATCACCGACTGGGACCCGATGATTGACAGCTGTGGCTTTGAATGGCGCAGCGGGTAGGGTTTGCGCGCACCCCCTACCCAAAAATGCAAAATCACGTATATATACGTGATTTTGCGCACCCGTGCCACTCTGTAGCACTACAGTATTTCTCCTATAGGGTGGTCGGGAAGCAGTTAAAACATACTGTATCTGTCCTTGTTTATTTCCATTACATGAGGGGATTGAGGGGACTAATAGTTTAGCCGATAAAAATAAAGATATTTGTGCCTTTTTTCAGTTCAAAGGAAGTGACAAGGGCAATGCATTTCTGACAAGATCTACAGGTATTTTCTGTACGTACTGAAAATGATCTCTGTCTGAAAACGAATACAGCAACCACATTTAAGGCCACTTAACTGCAATACATGGAAATTTGTGTTAAGATTTAGACACACTTCCATGGTGTTGACTAGAGTGGATCATATACTATCATATCGTATACTGTATGTCATTTTTTTTGCCAGTGCCCATAATTCAGCTTTTAAAAAGTAGAAAAATGTGTTAATGAAAGTGATTAAAATGAAGTATTTATTTAGTGAATCCTTACTCTTAATTCATGATGGAATTATTGGATACTTTCTTCTACTTTATGTTAAGCTACTTATAAGAAATTCAGCTACTGGTGTCGCTGACAGTTATTACTGCAAACTTGGCAACAAATATTAGTCATTTAAAAATACACACAATCCTAATGAATAAATGACTTGCCATGTATGTCTAATCTATTTTATGTCTTGCTTTGAAGATTTTAACCTCTAAATCTGGGAACTCTGCCAGCACTTCTGTCTGAAAAGACTTGTTGAACTTTGCTAAAAAATCAAAATCGGTGTTCAATCTGAATTTATTAGCCCATATTAACTGTGTTCCAGGCTGGCACAGGTGTTTCATAGTTTCCAGAAGTTGGTCCAGACAGGTATGGTGGTAGACTACATCTGCCGCAAGAATATAATCAAACGCACAAGTGATTTGGGGGTAGTTGGATTCAAGGTCTTGACCCCATACCAGTTCTTTCACTTCGGGCATGTGCAAACAACGCCCTCTTGTGTTTCTTGACATATTAAATCTCAGATTGCCAAGTACATCGGGCAAGTCAGTTGCTATGACGTGAGCTCCTGGAAGAGGAAATTGGTATCATACTGTACTGTACAAGCGTTAGTGATGCATGTTGAAGCAAACAAACTATTAAAATATGGTTAAATTTTAGATGTAATCTCTCCTGTAGTTAGTTTAAGCACACCAAATAGTAGACCAGTCACAGACCTAAGATGCATGCAACAATCGATACCAGTCCTGTTCCAGAGCCAAGTTCAAGAACCTTCTTGTCTCTCAAGTCAAATCCATCTTGGTTTTCTTCCAAGAAGTAACATAATGCCTTGGCCTGCAAGAGATGAGTAACAAGTGACATACAATGGAGATCTGAATACACATGTGCATCACTAAAGTATATTTCTATGTGTAGTAAAAAAAACACTAAGCACATCCCTGCAATCCACACTCATTTCCCCCAAAATGAAGAATATACAATAACTGTTGATCCTACCAGACATCCAGGGAGATCCCAACTTTCTGTGTTCTCTGCCTCTGTTGAACTTATATCACAAAAACAGTGGGGGAAGTGTTCTATAATTGAGCAGAAGAGAACTCGGCAAGTGGTAACATCACTGCTGGGGTGACAACATTACAATCCTAGTTAGGATTATGTATCAGAGACAGTGGAGGAATTTCCTTTAATTTGAGATACAATCTATGGCTTCTTGCTAAATGCCTTCACTGTCAAAACATTAATTTTGGTGTGCACACTAGTCTTTGCCAAACATCACCTTACTCTCCACAGCCAAATCAGACTGCTGTGGGTAGTATGCAACTGGCTAAGTCTAAAAAGACTTTTTCCACACATGCACAGATTGATAGTGCACTTCATGAGGAATGACTATGATTTCAGGTCTATACTTCTAAGCTTTTTGATGATATTTATCCTACAGCAAATATTTTAAAAAGTAATGGTCTATTCTGGTAGTGGACCCTGCCATTTCAGTTCTCAATTAAACACCATACAGTTCCTAAGAAATAATGAAAACTCCCTAGCTATTACTGCACAGTACCAAATGTACAAAAATCTTATTTGGATTATGAATAGGCTTGCACACCCTGTGATTCACACGCATAAATAGTAAATGTTAAAATAATACTAATATTGTGCAGTGTTTCAAACATATATATCACATATCATGTGTCTGATCACTGTCCTATGAAGTCCTGCCTTTGGGATATAAACACATGAGGGCAGAGCCACATCCCCCTGACATCATCAGGTATCTACAGAGCCGTGGCCTCCTTACCACAGAGTGAGGTATTTGCCAGCATACAACTGAGAGATACAGCTGCTCTATGGAGTTTGATTTCTCACCACTGTTCATTTGTTTTGAATGATTTTGATCTTGTCTATTTGTGAGTATATCTATTATCCTTTTCTGATCTACACTACTGTGCAAAGGTTTTAGGCTGGTGTGAAAAAATGCTGTACATTAAGAATCCTTTCAGAAATAGAAGTGTTAATAGTTTATTTTTATCAATTAACAAAATGGAAAGTAAATGAAAAGAAGAGAAATCCAAATCAAATCAGTATTTGGTATGGCCACCCTTTGTGTTCAAAACAGAATCAATTCTTCTGCGTACACTTGCATACAGTTTTTTAAGGAACCTGGTAGGTAGGTTGTTCCAAACATCTTGGAGAACTAACCACAGATTTTTTGTGGATGTAGGCTGCCTTAAAAATCCTTATGTCTCTTAATGTAATCCCAGACAGACTCCATGATGTTGAAATCGGGGCTCTGTGGGAGCCAAACCATCACTTCCAGTACTCCTTGTTCTTCTTTATATTGAAGATAGTTCTTAATGACATTGGCTGTATGTTTTGGGGTCATTGTCCTGCTGCAGAATATACATTTTGGGACAAATCACACACCTCCCCGATGATATGGCATGATGGATAGGTAATCTGCCTGTATTTCTAAGCATTGAGGACACCTTTGATCCTGACCAAATCGCCAACTCTACATGCAGAAATGCAGACCCAAACTTGCAGAGAACCTCCACCATGCATTACTGTTGGCTGCAGACACTCATTATTGTACTGCTCTCTCATAATTGCCAACAGTCACGGATTAGCTGGGGTGATCACGGAAATTTGACAGCTGTCTCGGCTTGACGTTGTCCCGGGCCGAGTCCAGAAAATCCATATAAATCACGGAAAGTCACAGCCAGTGCCGCAGGTGCCCGGCGCAGACTATGTCACTCACATGGGAACATTCAGAGAGAAGATTGGCTGTTCGAGAGGCAGAAAACCTCCAGTCATTGCTTCCCAGGGATGGAAATCCCTCCCACCTACCTGCTCCCCCATTTCAAGGAGCTCTCACAGGTGGCTCCACTCAGACTGAACATCCCCGAGGGGCAGGGCCAGCATGGCTTGAAGACTGATTGGGTGGGACTCGAGGGGGAGCTCCTGGACTGCCTTCTGCTGGGTGCACATGTGAGGTTGTGTGTGAAGCAACATAGAGATGTACAGGGCCGGCACCACTGCTGTTTTGCTCTCTCCTATCCCCCGGTGTGATGCTGACTGTGTCCTGGTCTCCTCCAGAACCTCCGCTGCTCCTCTCCCCCAGTGACTGTGGGCAGTGTGAGCGGTTGACCATGGACTCAGGGTGGGAGGTGTTGGGTTCCTGTGGTGAAGTCTGGGATTGAGAGGGAGATGAGCCGCCTGCTGACATTCTGGGACTGGTCAGGCTCAGGGTCCCCCCATCACCAGGCCTGGGCCAGCTTCTTCTTCCTGGGGACTGGGTGCCGTGCTTCTCCTGTGGGGGGATCCTCCAGAGCTGGGAGTCCGGGGACAAACCAAACATCGCAAAAACTTCCAGATCTGTCCCTTTCTCCAGGGCACCAAGCCTAGCATGTCCCTGTCTCTGGGGAACCCCACACAGTGGATGGACACATCCTCAGCCAGATCCACTGACTGCCTGGGGAGCAGGAAGACAACGATGCTGTCTACCCCAAACTACTGGACATGACCAACCGCATGGGGACCTTTCGCAATTGGCCACGACACACCAGGCTCTTCCCCCGAGCAACTGGCCACTGCCGGCTTCTTCTATACTGGTATGTACTGGGGGGACTGGGATCACATATACCCCACCGTAGAGGAAATCTTCTATACTGGTACGTACTGGAGGGACTGGGATCACTCCTACCCCACCATAGGTGAATTTGTATATACTGGTATGTACTGGGGGGACTGTGAGGACTAGGACCACATGTACCTCACCATAAGGGAATTCTTCTATACTGTTATGTACTGGGAGGAACTGGGATCACATGTACCCCCCATAAGGGAATTTTTCTATACTGTTATGTACTAGGAGGACTGGAATCACATATACCCTCCATAAGACAATGCTATATTGGTATCCACTGGTATGTATTGGGAGGACTGGGATCCCTCCAACCCCACCATAGGAGAATTCTATACTGGTATGTACTGGGGAGGAGCTATAATAGGATTGGAATATTATATCCAACTAGCTGCAACACATGGGGTCAGCCCTGAACAACAGCCTGCTGCTGGGTTCTTCTTTACTGGTATGTACTGGGAGGACTGGGATTACTCATACCCCACTATAGAGATATTAAAGCACAGGGATCTTCAATGGTCCACAACACACATAACCACACCCCCTTTAAGCCACACCCAATATTTAACATAATTTAAACCACACCCACTTTCACTGCGCTAAGCTGCATTTTTCTTTTCCTTGCTTTTTGTAAGCCACGCCTATAATAAAAGAATGTCTCACTCCTAATTAAAGTAATGCCCTGCCTACAGTGGCTTTCTGGATGCACAGAAAATAAGGGTGTCCCTAAAAACGTTTTTGGGACTAGTTGGCAACTATGCTTTCCAGCCCTTAGCAAACAAACTGCCTCCTGTTACAGCCAAATATTTCAAATTTTGACTCATCAGTCCAGAGCACCTGCTGACATTTTTTCTGTACCGCAGTTCTTGTGTTTTCATGCATAGTTGAGTTGCTTAGCCTTGCTTCCACGTCTGAGATATGGCTTTTTTAGCAAAATTCTTCCATGAAGGCCATTCTGGCCAGACTTGTCTGCATAGTAGATGGGTGTACCTGGGTCCCTCTGGTTCCTACCAGTTCTGTGCTGATGGCACCGCTGGACATCTTCCAATGTAACAGGGAAGTAATCATGATGTCTTTCATCTGCTGCATTTAGTTTCCTTGGCTGACCACTGCCTCTAGGGTCCTCAATGTTGTGGGTTTCTTTGTGATTCTTCAAAAAAGCTTAAACAGCACATCTTGAAACCCGTCAGTTTAGGCATCTTTCTCTGGTAGAGACCTTGCTGATGCGGTATAACTACCTTCTGTGCTCATTCTTGCCATGGTGTATGATCTGTGACATAAACCGTCTTCCACAAACTCACTTTAGTAGCAGAGTTTGACTGTTCCTCACTTGGTTTTAAGCTTCCTACACAGCTGTTTCAGTTTCAGCTAATGACTGTGGTTCAACCTACATATGAAATTGATGATCATAAGCACCTGTATGGTATAATTGGTTAATCATACACCTGACTCTAATCCAACAAAATCCCTTACTTTGTGCAAGTGTATAAAGTATGCAAGTGTAAGAATTGATGCTAGTTTGAATCCAAAGGGTATTCACAATAAATATTGATTTGAAAGCATATTTACTTTACAGCATTTATTCACACCTGCCTAAAACTTTTGCATAGTACTATACATATGAGAACACAATTGGATGACATGAATTGGTGATATATTTTTTTATGCACAGAGTGATTTGTGAAGAGAAGTGTCCAGGTGGCTGATTATCACATAGACTTATTCACAGTATGTTTTCACCTTAGCAGTTTGAACCTTTGGACTTGATTTGTTTTTTCACTATATTGCACAAGTTGTTGTTAATGATTGCATGGTATTATGCGTGTGCAACACCATATACTTTTTTTTATTCACAAGTTTTAATATTAAAGGGGTAGTAAACCACATAAAAAAAGGTCCCCCCACAGGGTAATGTCATAATGTGTTAATATGCACCGAATACTAGCACATTATGACAGACTTGCCTAAAAAACTGATCCCTCCAGCACCGCACTGTAACCGTTGACAGGGAATCCATCTTCACCTGGTTTTCCATCTGGGCTTGCGGGCTCTGGCCATTTGAATGGCTGAGCCACTATGACGTCACTCCCATGCATGTGCGCGGGAGTCACTGCTGCAACACAGCTCTGTCAATGGACGGCATGCTGTCCATCGAGAGCGCAGTGCACACGTGTCGGTGACATCACCAGCTGCT